GAAGATGTCATTATCTACATGTATGCATATAGTACTATTTCGACTACCTAGTCTCGTCAGTGCAACATTATAATAAATTTTATATTTTTAAAGTTTTTAAAATTTTTAAAGTTTTAAAATTACTAAATTATATATCCTATATATATCCTTTTTACAAAGAATTTAAAATTATAAATTATAAAAGTGTTAATTTTAAATTCTTTGTAAACAGGATATATAGAGGATATATAATTTAGTAATTTTAAAACTTTAAAAATTTTAAAATTTTAAAAACTTTAAAAATGTAAAATTTATTATAATGTTGCACTGACGAGACTAGGTAGTCGAAATAGTACTATATGCAAACATGTAGATAATGACATCTTCTGTAAATAGGAATTTTGTTAGTAGCATTAACAAGTTAAGTTTGGTAGATCGGAGAATTATTCAAAGAATCAAGAAACTATCATATAGATTGAGTACTGTAAGAAACGCCGTGATATTTATTAATAATATATATATGTATATATATATATATATATATTTATTTATTTATTTATTTATTTATTTATTGGAAGAAGCACAAAAAAGTAAACATAATACTTGTGATAGTGCCTTAACTAAAGTTGTCCTTTCAACCAAGTTCAACAAAAAATTCAACAAAGTTAATTAAAAATGGAGAAATTAAAAATGATGATAATTCATGCACGCAAACGTGCGTCAAAAAAATTTATACATTTGCATTTCAAAAGTAAATAATGTTCGCCTCCCATAATATTGACAATTAAATAAATAAGGATTGAATCGACATGACAAATTCACAGTAGAGGTTCATTACAGAAACAAATTCAAATATCAATTTTGGCATATTTTAAAAAGTTTATCGTTAAAGGATCATTACATAGGCAAATGCGAGAATCATGATGTTATTAACTCATTATGAAAAATTTATCGTAGAAAGTCTATTACAAAACAAATTCTATTTTTATAAAATGTTTACCGTAAAAGAACTATCACACACATTCATTTTCATTTTGAAAGTTTACCGTAAAAAGTTTACCGTTCGAAGCATATTCATGCTCCCTCAAGTACGTTAGATCCGTAATTCACTCATGCACGCACATTCATGCCCACACACACACACACACACACACACACACACACACATATATATATATATATATATATATATATATATATATATATTGGTATGAGGTTCTCAGATAAACATGTTCGGTTGAAGATTACACCCCATTTTGCAGTTAGAAGTTTTTTAAATAAAAAAAAAAAAACTTCATCACACGCGCTTTTAAATTATCTACCGACGATGAATCTCTTCACATAGAAATTCAAAGAATCAAACAGTTACTTATTAATAATAATTATCTAAATACACTCATCGACGACGTCATATCTAAATCTCTCAAGAAATTCAAACAACCACTTCTACAACCACAGCACGAACAACAAACAATACCCATTTACTACAAAAATCAAATGCATAATAACTATCTAATTGATGAAAAACAAATTAAACAAATCATTAGATCAAATCTCACATCAGAAGATGAAAATAAAAAGATTAAGTTAATAATATATTATGATACAACAAAAACACAACAATTAGTCATCAAAAACAGTCCAACCACTACAAAAAATAATCTAGATAGTACGAACGTCCTGTACCAATTTCGATGCCCTTTGCCATACGTGATGTGGAAACATATATTGGACACACACGTACAACACTTCGCAGACGCCTTACCCATGCATGTACAGCAAGGCGCTATCAAGGATCACTTCAATAAGCAGCACAACATACCAGTTACTCGGAAAATTCTTGATAATAACACTAGCATACTTTGTAATGAACGTCGTCCCTCAAGACTCAAAATAAAAGAAGCTATTCTCATCCTCAATAATAAACCAACAATCAACACGCAGTCAGACAATTTCGCCCACGTCTTACAACTTTTTACTCAATATCGCGACGTTGTATTGCCTCAATTGCCAAACGTCATCAATAGACAGCAACTACACACCAAATATAAATACGAATATAACACACAAGAACGCACCATTAACAACAATCCGTTTGTCTCTTCACGCCATAAAACCCAAACAATTTGTTCACTAACTTCATTATTTGCCACGCCTTAATATTTCTTTATACATATTTATTGCTAAATAATACTATATCCAATTGTTAAATATCTAATAATTCTTCAATAAATTCTCATATCATTAAATATTATTATCGACTTCCCATAATTTCTGCATTACTTCTCGTGACTATGCTAACTATGTACACTTCAACTACGATAATACACAAACAATTTTATTCATAATTTTTCTGTTAAATTTATTCGTTTATTTTCAACAATATAATGAGTTAATTTTTAAAATATAGGTTGTTATTCATTTATTTATTCATTTTAATATATAATATTCTATTTTCTATTTCTTATAATTTATATTATTAACTCCTCATTTGGTTTTACAATCTAGGCTCCGACGATGGCATTAGCCGAAACGGCCATCAGCCAAACTTCACAGTTTAATAAAGTTGAAACAAAACAGCTTCGTGTTGTTGAAATTTTATTTAAAAAACTTCTAACTGCAAAATGGGGTGTAATCTTCAACCGAACATATATATATATATATATATATATATATATATATATATATATATATATATATATATATATATATATATGTTACATGCTAAGTCATAGACCACATAAGTTCGCCTCCCCAACCAAAATCTGAAATGACGCCCCTGGTTTGTGCGTGCTGGCTTGTTTTTTTATTTGATTATATTTGTATCCAATTGTTTATATTATTTCATATTTTTCGTGGTAAAATATAACGAAGCGCTATATTAATTTTATGACATCATAGGATTAATTGAAACGACCTCTCGATGTCTCTCGTGAGTTGTTGTCAGAATCGGCAGAGTCCAGTTTTTGGTCTCGGGCTCCCTGAAAAATCTGGAACGCAATTCCTCATAAGTGTATTTGTTGGTCGTCGTGTTGTTGCTGAGACTGATTTGCGACGATGACGTCATATCTGTTGAGTTGTTTTGTTGTTGTTGTTGTTGTTGCTGGTGGGCGATTTAGTTTGATGTTGTTGCCGTTTAATGCTGTCAATTGATGATGTGTAATGTAATGTGTAATATGTGTGTTACTTTCTTCAATTTTTAACAAAACTAATCTCATTTTATATTGATGTTGAAACAATTTACTGATGGTTGCTGCAAAGCCCATTCGTCAAACCATCCCGTATAAACATTGTTACAGTTACCATAAATTGAATTTAAACAAAGACTGTACTGAGAATATAATCCTAGCATATATGCCCTTAAAATGCAATTAAATGAAACATTTACTTGTTAATTAGTCTATAATTTGGTATTTAATCTCCCAAGACACGCTACTTTCTCATGATGATCAGATTTTTTTTATTCATTTATTCATTCGTTTATTTTTTTATTTATTAGATCATTCATTCATCAATTCATCCACTCATTCGTTCATTCATTCATTCGTTCTTTCATTCATTCGTTCGTTCATTTGTTCGTTCGTTCGTTCCTTCATTCTTTTATTCATTTGTTCATTCGTTCGTTCGTTCGTTCATTCATTCATTCATTCACCCACACATCCATTTATTTATTTACGTACTAATCTTACTTGGAGCCATATTGTTCAGTTGATCTTTCCTACGTTTCAGTGTTTTCATATTAGGTTTAATTAATTTTAAAATAAATTTACACCAATCAACTAACTAAATAACGAAATTTATTAGTCAGTAATTAATTAATTACTTACTTACTTAATTAATTAATTGAAAATAATAAAATTTTACTTTAATAATTCAAATCAGATTGAGTATTGTTACGAGCCAAATGGCTATCTTTACAATAAGATCAGGAGAGTTTTGAGAAATTTTCAATACAATTATTTCATTTATGTTATATCTATATGTTATGTTTATTTGTTACTTATTATGTTATACTTATAACACATATCATGTTATATCATACTCGCACGCACTTACACACACACACATGTGTTACTAAATCAACGTGTGCCTCTTGGTCTAAAAATATCCATTGAAATGTTTTTTTGTTATTGCTGTTGTTGTTATTATTGTTGTTGCTGCTATTATTGTGGTAGTAGTAGCAATAGAAGTAGTAGAAGTAGTGGTAGTAGTAGTAGCAGTAGTAGTAAGAGTATCAGTATGAGAGGTAGTAGTATTAACAGTAGAAATAGTAGTAGTAGTAGAAGCAGTAGCAGTTTTGTAGTAGCAGTAGTTGCAGCAGCAGTTGTAGCAGTAGTTGTAGTAGCAGCAGTAGTAGTACTAGTAGTAGTTGTGGTAGTGTATTAGTAGCACTAAAATGAATCATCATACTTGCTTTTGTAATGACGAGCTAAATTATATTTTCACTAGCAATTGACATTAGCGTTGATGTAGCTATTTCCATTATTAATAAATAATAAAATATAAATTAATAATAATAATAGTTTTAATAATAATATTAATAGTATCAATATGTGTTTTGTCCATGAACTTTTTAAATTGTATTAACAATAATGATATCTGTGTGTTTATTTTCCAGAATGATGTATAACAGTGTGTTGGTGTCATCAATGTTTAAGGCGCCTTGTCTTACCGTTGCAGAAATGTGTTCCCTCTCTCTGTGTGTGTGTGTGTGTGTGTGTGTGTGTGTGTGTGTGTGTGTGTGTGTGTGTGTGTGGCCGTGTGGGTGTGTGGCCGTGTGTATGATGTGTGCGTGTGCGTATATTGTTGATATCTTTAAAGGAAAAAAGTTTCAACTAAAAAGACTTGCAAAACTGACCATGGCTGTTACTGTGGGTCATCGATTCCATGCTGACTAACGTAGCTCAATCGATCGGCAATATTATGGTGGCCTTTGTGGCAACGTTTTTAGCTTCACTAGTACTTTTAGTGCGCGTGCACTTGTGTGTATACCACCTCATATATCTAAATTTCAAATCAGTGTAAACTTAAAAAAATTAATAAATAAATTAATTGATTCAATTAAAATATCAAACTCTAACCCGTCAAAAAATAATTATTAATTAAATTATTTCAATTAATTATGGATCATATTAAAAAACCAGAGACCAACGCATATGACAAGCAACCAGGCAAGCAATGCAACAAATAGTTTTTATTATCACCAGATAAGTATTTTATTTAGAAAACACACATCCCACTATGTATTATTTAGTCGCTATTATATATATGTATATATAAATATATATTATATATATACAAAACATAGCATTTAGTCGCTATTATATATATATATGTATATATAAATATATATATACAAAACATAGCATATAAATATATATATATTGTAAATATATATATATATTGCTGTGTATGTGTTATATTTATATACATAACATACATAGCTATTATGTTTATATTATATAATGTGTAATATAATATTCATGTATGTATTTATATTTATAAACTATTGTATGTGCCATAATTATAAATTAATATTCATTCATTAATTTATTCATTCAGTTGTTTGTTTGTTCGTTCATTTGTTCATTCGCTCATTCATTCATTCAATCATTCACCAAGCGTCTTTAAGAAGAAGCTTGCTTTTTTATAGGTTATTGTTTAAATATACATGTGTGTGTGTTTGCACGTGTGTGTGTGTTTGTGTGCGTGTGTGGATGTGCACGTGTGTCTGTCTGATATAGTACCAATAATTATTGTGGTTTTTTTATGATCGATAGTTTAAAAAAGTTTATGTCTGAGGTTTTTGAGTGAATAAGATTATATGGAAATTTGGTTTTTGTTGTTCATTCATTCATTCATTCGTTCATTCATTTATTCATTTATTCATTCACTTCTTCATTCATTTAATAATTAATTTACTCATTCATCCTTTCATTCACTTTCAATTTTCTATCTAGAACGTTTTTACTGTTGTGAACTTATTCGAAATACTAAACACATTCAGCCTACAGGAATGACGTGTCTGAAATCAGTTATATTTATTCAATCTTGTCTGGTGCTAATTCAAACATTCACCGAATTGTTCACCTGTTCATCATTCTCGTTCCAATTTCGGGATTGATGTGAAATTATTTAAACCTAATAAAATATTTTCGTCATTCGTTGTATTATTTCTGTAATTGTATTCATCTGGTCTTTTGAAATCTGTGAAATTTAAAATAGTCTAGAAGTAAAATTTTATGATAATCATGTTGATAATACTAACCAATTATTAAATAAATTTGTGAGATAATTAATTTAATTAATTTTTTTAATGTGCGAATCTAAGACATCATGTCATGATGTGGGCTTTCAAATTGAATTCGATAATAAAAATTGCTTTTAAACTATATTACTCGTTTACATCTGGACAAATAAAACAAACAAAAACACATACACACACACACACGCACACGAATAAACTCACACACATGCTGTCTTAAAAATGAGTAAATTATTTTTTCATCAACTATACAAACGCACATAAAAACAAACAGACAAGCATGCGTGCAAAAACACATTCGTTCATAATACAAAGAGCACAGTTGCACATGTTGACAGAACACAAACAAACTTATAGCTCACTTTATGCGTCATGCCATCCTACCTATTTATCTTCTTTCATATCATTCAAAATATCAGCTTTATAGTAAATATATGGTAGACCAAGTCTGAGTAAGTATAAATATGTATTTATGTATGTATATGTATATATAGAAGATAGGTGTTGTGTATGCATGGTAGATAAGGCTTCAAACCACAATAGAAACCTTAAATTACATCAATTTTTATGTTAGATCCAACCATGCGAGAGAGAGAGAAAAAGATAGAGAGTGTATGTGTGTGTGTGTGTGGTGTGTGTGGTGTGCGTATGTGTGGTGTGCGTGTGTGTAAATGCAGATCGTTAAACAAACAAATAAATAAATAGTAATAAAATACAGAATTGTGAGACTGGTTAGTGTATGTATGCAACGATGGTGATGTGTTAACTTGTCATCAGCTGTCCTTAGGTTATCAACTTACTGCTGTGATCAAGGCATGTAGTTATTGATATAAAGTATCTGAATGAAAGCAACTTTCATTTTATATACTCGCTCATGTGTGCTTGCTCTATTCATTCATTCATTCATTTATTCGTTCATTCATTCATTCACTCATTCATTTATTCATTCGTTCAGTCATTCACTCATTCATTCATTCACTCAGTCATTCATTCACTCATTCGTTCATTCATTCATTCTTGCATTCGAAACATAATTACGTAAATTAATTGAGAATGAAAGAATGAATATACATAGACCAACAAACTAATCACTTGCACGGGCAAACATACACAAGCCCGTACACGTACAAGCATACATACACACACATACACAAACATACACATATTTATTCACGCACGCACACGCACAAACACACACTTCAAAGAAGATTTTCTTCACAAATTCTCGTCGATCAAGTTTTAGACTCCTCCCATCTTCTAGGTTATAAATAACTACGAATCAAAATTTTTCATACAGTTTCATTGAAAAATTTAAATACCCTTCTATAGCGCCTAACCGAACGATAGCAAATATTGGAGTGACGAAGTAGTGGTGAAGCCAAAAATTGCTAGCAGAGTCCGATCTGGAGTCTGGTTCGATTGCAAAGAGGATCATGACTCGTTGAAAATTTTTATTTAAAAGGAGAGTGAATGACGTTTCTACCAGCACAAGCAATAATTGTGAGTGATTTTTATAAATTCGTTTCCAAAACACATTTTGATATTTCTATGTTATAATTAAAACAAAACAAAAAGTTAAATCAGAGAAGACAGATTGATTTTCAAAATTAACTTCAAAAATTCTTGACTCATCATTAATCAATCAAACTATCTCGATAGTGACAAAACTTCATGAAACTTCATACGTAACGAAGATATATTACATGCTTTGTTAGCAAGCTCTTGTTTAAGGTTCTTTTTAAATGAAAAAATCTTTTGGTCATTCACTTGGTCAGCTACCTTAAATTGTTGAAACTTTTACTCTGGTCAACTGTGGACTTTATTAGTCTAGAAATTTTTGTTACTGGATCAAATTTCGTCTCGTTTGATTTTATTTACTTTACTTAACAACTAGTGATTCCTGCTTGGTTAGTTAATATGTCATAATGCTGTAAATCGTTATAATCGTTATATAATTATTTTCGTCGCTATTGTCCATTATCGATAATTTTTATCGTTATTTATCGTTATTTTCAAAAGCTAAATCAAGCCAATTTTTATAACATTTAATTAATAACGAAGAACAAGACAAATAATGCTAAACTTCTTTTTTGATAAAACTGGATTTTTTAAATAAAAAAAAATCAATTTTTTTTATAAATTTTGTTAAAACTCATCAGACGATAACATTGTTATATTTAATTGAAATATACGTCATGTAAAAATAAGCCGTTGTACCAAGGTTAATGAAATAACTGAAAGGAAACGGATAGATAACTGAATCCCGAAAATATCCAATACGACATATTCTGTCATGCTATCGTCCCATTTTATCTTCTAAAACTTACTTTAATTGGAAATTAGGAAAAAAAGGTTTTTAAAAAATTTCCAGCTAACAAAGATTTTTGTCTAAAGTAACATACCTAAAGAACTTGTTAAATGTTACATTTAACTAAAACTGGTTAAAAAAAGTTGAAAATTTTTTTTAATTTGCAATTTTCCACTATGGAATTATAACATCACATTATCATAACAGATGGCAGTAGGTAGGTACGCATGTACTTATCATTCGCACCCGGACGAAGACTTATGTTTTGTGAGTAGGGAGAGTCTGGAGAAGGATTTAGTACACTGGGAACATTTGTACTTTTTGACGAGTTCATGCGTCTGTCCGTGCGCTCTCAAGTTTGACCGGTCTGCAAAACACCTTCCACAAATTTGACACTTGAAAGGTCGTTCCCCTGTCGGAGTTTTATTTTTAAAAATAAAAAAAATGATTTATTCCAATAGAAAATAAATTATCAAAAATGTTTCTTAATTAATTAAATGTAAGTCAACTCAGTTTACAAGTTAGATATGTAATAGGTAAGCCATTAGTAGTCCAATTTCAACATTCATGAGTGCTATTTCAAAAATGTAACCCTCCCAATAGAGTCTGAATACTTTTCTAATTAGCTCAAATATTTAAATTATATTTTGAGGCATGCCTTTTGTAGCAGCACTTACTGTTTGGTCTAACCTATGAAAGAACCGTCAAAAAGTAAACAAAAACATAAGCAACAACAACATAAACAACAACATAAACAACAACAACAACGAATTTACAAGCATCAATACCAGAGTGTGTCCTCAAATGACCTTGAAGAAGCCATGGTCGACCAAACTTCTTTCCACAATGTTCACATGTGCACTGGCGGAATTTTATTCTATCTCCACTTTGGGTGTTGTCTATGTCAGCGATGTTGTTGTTGTGGTTGTTGTCAGTGTTTTTAATGTTGCTGACATTGTTTATATTTTTGAGGTTTTTGATGTTTTGCTTCACGATAATTTTGTTGTTGGCGTTATTAATCGTACTGTTTATGGCAGGTGTTTGTTGGGAATTTGTGTTGATGATGTTGTTGTTGTTGATGTTGCTGTTGTTGTTGATGTTGCTATTGTTGTTGATGATGTTGTTAGTGTTGCTGTTTTCAATGTTGTTAAGACTAGTTATGTTGTTGTAGTAGCTATTTTGGTTATGTGATGTGGCAAAATTTGTGATGATGTTATTGGTGTTTCTATTGAATTTGTTGTTTTTGTTGCTGTTGTTGTTGTCTTTATTGTTGTTGTTGTTGTTAATGTCGTAGAAATTATTGTTGATGTTACTGTTAATGATGTCATCAATTGTGAACTTTTTCCAGCAGTTGTCTGCAGTTGTTGACGAGAGAATGTGGTCGCAGAGCAATCTTTGTTCGTTAAAAATATCGTTGTCGTTGCTGTTTTTGTTGCTGATGTTGTTGTTGTTGTTGTTATTACTGTTGTTATTGTTTTTGTTGTTGTTGCTCAACAGACTTAGATTGGTTTTGTCGTCGTCATCGGTGACGTTGCTGATGTTGTTGTGAATGTCATCGCTGCTTGGGATGTCGTTTGTGTTGTTGTTGTTGTGATTGTTATTGTTGCGGTTGGGAGTGTTGTTGTTTTCGTTCATTTCATGATAAATGTGATTATTATTTTTGTCATTTAGTAGTTTGTTAATAATAGAATTCTTAATGAATTTCCAGTAAGTTGGGCAATAATTGGGCTGATGTTGAAAATAAAATTGTTGAGATGATATTGTCGGTCGCCATGTTTGTTGGCAACACTTGTTTATGATCTTTGGTTGTTGGAAATTTTTTTCATCAGCATTATCATTTTGTAGATGTAGATGTTGATCTTGGTGGTAATGATGACGATGTTGTGTTGATGATGATGATGTGT